CCCAGTTTGTCACGATGCCGTGCTCAATGGGGTACTTCAGCGTCAGGATGCCGCGTTTCGACTGCGCTTCATCACCCACGTAGCTGTCCTTCTGCCCCATGCCCACCATCACGCCCTGGCAAGAGTGGAGAGAGAGACAACAAAATAAACCATTGTCTTCAACTTCCACATTACCAACTATACCAACAAAAACAATAATAATTATCTTCTAATAATACAAGCAATAATAACATTTATAATATTGATTGTTGGCGAATAAGCATGATAATCATAATAATAATAATCAAATCATACTCCAAACACTAAGTGAAATCTGTAAGGTGGTAATCTAAATGATGATACTAATCAATATCAATAATTCTGTATTAATATTACCACCAACATTTCTACTACTACTACTACTATGACGCTGACAACGATGACGACTACCACTACTACTAATGCTACCAGTATCATTTGTAATAGTAATACTAATAGAAGCAATAAATATATTTTAGATGAAAAGCGTAACTTGGTTTTGAAGAATTTTCCTCAGATAATATTGTTTGGGAGACTTTCATTTTGTATGAAAGTGGATAAGAAGCAATTCATACATTGATCTCACCAGAAGCCGACAGCCGCTTCGCTTTGTACTGCAGCCGTTTGGCCTTAATACAACATTCAGGTTGACACAGTCCACAAGACATCCTCTCTCATCCTCTTGATGGTGTGTTGGTGTGAGACATATCATATCCATTATGTGACGAACGAAACTCAGACTGTTTCCACCCGAAACAAGAGAAAGAAGGTCTCGTGGACTGCGCCAATCTTCAGCGTCGTATTAAATCCAACTGGCTGCAGAGCAACGTAAATCAGCCGTTGTCTTCTGGTGAGATTGACCTTCTAATCTCTTCTCCATGCCTATTCATATGAAATGAAAGTCTCCCCAACAATTATATTTTAATCGACCTCAATTATAAAATCATTAGCCCATTAGTAATCCACGATATAATACTACTACTAATATTATTATAATAACCTATTGGCCAACTAAATGTAAACAACTCTGTGCAAACTGGCCAAATAAAATTGATACAAGCGTGTAGAAAACATTCACCAAAATGATTAGCAATGGTTTAATGAATACAGTATACTTACTATTAGAGTATAATAATAAAATAGAAATAGGCAAAGATGCGAACCCATGGATGAGCTTTATCAATTGATTTATACGGGCATTGAATGACAAAGAGAATGGGTTAAAAGTGATTTTAATACAAGTTGTCTGATGTGCTCCTTGATGCCATGCTTTTCTTTGGCATATGATGGACCTAATCAGAGCAGGTTAAAGTCACCTTTACGACCTGACTACTACCTATTCATTCGTTTATTTAAGTTTACCACACCGTCTGCCAATAGCTGCACTACTACTAATCGACATCAAAATTTCAATATTAATATTACCGATACTACTGATAATACCAACAGTATA